CCCGGGGGATAGAGGAAGTGGGGGGGGGGGGGGGATGCTCCTGGATCCAGGGGGATGATGCTCCTGGATCCGTCCCCACCTCGGCCGCCCATCGCCCCCCCCTCCGCCGCACCCTCCCTGCCGACTGCCTGCCAGCGATGCTCAGAGCTTCTTGGGTTTTGTTTTACAGCAGTTGAGGGAATTTTGGAGCAACAGCCATTGAACCCCGCTGAAATTCCTACAGGTTTTTATTTACTTGACCATAAAAGCATCCCTTTTCAGGAGGAGGCTGAGGGAAAAAAAAGACTTTTTCACCTGATATTTGTGCTTGCATTAGTGAAGACCACTTAACAAGTAGCTCATTGCCGCTTACAAAGAGTTATTTAATTGCCAGCGCGTTAAAAAAAAAAAAAAAAACTTAAAAAAAAAAAAAAAAAAGAAAACTGCCTTGGCTATGAATGAACAGACCTTTATGGAGGGCTGGAAGTTCATGAATGAATCCCACTAGGTTTTTCAATGACATGGGGTGACCAGACCTCAAGGACAAGTCTTAGGTAATGCGGGATATTTTTTTTTTTTTAAGGAGCCAATGCCAGCACACAGTATAAATATGCCAGAGCCTCTTCCGTTTGCGGGATTCGGCTGTTGACTGGATGTCTAGTCAAAAAGCCATGAGAATATACGGGTTGAGCGCGGATAAACAGGATCAGGCCTCCCTGCCAGCCGCCACCAAAGCCGCTTTTCACGGTTGTTGGGACCCCGGCGGAGCCGCCCCGCTCCCACCCGCCTCCCTGATTCTGGCATCCGCCGGGAAAAGGGGTGGGAAAAGCCGGTGCAGTCACTCGGGCGGCGGAGGCAGGAGAGGAGGTTGCAGGAGAGGAGGAAAAAATGACGCAGAGATACTTCCTACGGGGACGGAGATTTTTGCCCCGAAAGGCTTTTTTTGGTGGCAAGGACCATGGGTCTGGGCAAATGAAGCAAAGAGGTGGATTTTGCCCCAAAACGCCCCGCCGGGTTCACCTGGACCCGCCATCCCACTCCCGTCTCCACCTGCCGCAAACCCACACAAAAACCCAGATCCCCGGAAATTCGCAGCCACATCACCCTCGACGTGTCCTCGTGTGCGACAGCCCAGAAACAGGCTGAGAAACGCATCGGGGCTCTTGTTTTGAGTTAAAAGCAAGGTTTTTACGAGCTCCTCGGAGCAAACACATCCCTTTCTAAATGCCTGGAAAACTCCCAGCAAACTGGGAGCGTTCCCATATTCCAGCAAACAATGATAATGTTGAATGCTATAAACATCCGCGCTATTATTTCGTTATTAAGCATCCCTCCATTTGCTGCTATCACTGCTTTATTATTATTTTCCATGGTTTGCATTACAGCCTGCCTAGGGGCTCCGTCAGGCTCTCCCCAGCGCATTATGCAAGCTTATTGTGGGGAAAAAATATATATATATATAAATAATAAAGCGAGTCTGCCCTCAGGAATTTAGAGAATTAGTCGTATTGATCACTTAGAGCTGGGTCTACGGAGAACAGCCATCCGAAGCAGAGCACATTTCTGCACGAAGGGGAGAAATTAAGGCAATAGTTTGCTACCCCGAGTCTTTGGGGTAACGTTTTTTGGAAGTTTGGTGTGGATGGTGACGAAGACGGCGGAGCCCCAGCACAACCACATTATTCAACATCACATTCCCATGGAAAAAATGGTTTTTCCCCATGTTTTTTCACACCCTCCCGAGGGGCTGCCCTTTTACCGGTGCATCCCTTCGAGAGGAAGGAGTGTCCTCCACGAAAGCATCATCCCAGCTGCTTCCCAACACACCAACCGGCATGAGAGGCTGTGAGGTTTCCCACCACTTGCCTTGACCCTCGCGAACATCAAGTCCTGCCCAAAATTGCTCAATAAAAGGCCGCAGCCAGAATTTCTCCAGCTTCGGGTGTGCACACGCTGCCTGTGGGCTCGGGGCATCATCCTGCTCCGGGGAGGGATGCTGCAGAAAACGCGACATCCATACAGAAATCCTGGAGGATGGGACACCGAAGCAATAACCCCAAAAACTTAAAAGCTGCTGAGACCAAGGAGGTCCAGATGACGGCGGGTATGGGAGATTCACACCATGGAAACACCCGAATTTATCAGTAACGGCCCCACGCTTGGTTCTCCCACGCTGCGGCAGGAGGACTCGCATCTCGCATCGCTTGGAAGTGGCAGAAAATTTCTCGTGCGGCTTTTCCCCTCAACACATGAACACTTTTAAGATGATGAAACCATGTCATCTGTACTTTTTCTTTCCGAGCTCCGGCAGTTTTATTAGGAGTTTGGGAAGAAAAAGTTCTTTTTTCATTCAGGAAGAACCGGAACGTATCAGCAAAACTGAATTAAAAAAAAAAAACACACAACCAAAAACCCAAACCCCAACGCAGCTCCTGGCCGGCTTTCGGATCTCAGCCTCGTCCCGGTGCCAAGTTTGTGAACGTCGAGGGGAGGTGGGCTGGGGATCTTTTGTTTTGCTTTGTTTTGTTTTGACATAGCTAAAGGTTTTCCTGTAATCAACCGACCGCTAAAGAAAACAGCAAGTTTAGCACACACTGAGCTATCTCACCCGCCGGGACTACTCCCATCTGATCAAGTCAAGAGCTATCTAAATTGTCACTGATATCTGCAATGATAACTCGTCGCTGAAAATGGGAATACAACTGCGTTCCTGATTAGGTTTTTAAATGCCTGTAATTGGATCTTTCCTCCGTGATATTAGGATTAGATGCAAATTAAATTATCCAACTGTAGAAGTGTTTCAAACTACGTATTTATACTTTTTGAATTTTTTTTTTTTTTAAAGAGCAGCTTTGACCCAAAGCATCTTCTCATGCTCTTCCTAAACTTCTCATCGTCACACCCCCTCCTCTCCCCCATTCCTCTGTGATCCCTGGGGCTGGATTTCCCACCGAACGTCAACCCTGACGCAATACTCACCGTGGCATCATCTACCCTGCTAACAAAAGTCTCCCAATTTTCATAGAATCACAGAATGGTTTGGGCTGGAAGGGACCTCTAAAGGTCACCTAGTGCAACCCCCCCGCCGCGGGCAGGGACATCTTCAACTAGATCAGGTTGCTCAGGTTTTGTGGTACCTTCACCTGCGCCACTTGCAGAGGTGACACTGCACGCACGACCGATAACCAACACAAATGCGTAAAGCCAACGGATGAATTAATGTAGACGTCCACCAAGAAATCATAGCACCA